GCGCCACCTAGTGGTGGAGGGAAAACACACAAAAACACAACCCACACAAACTGGATTCTTGACAGGAAGCACAGGTTGCGCTTCCCACCGATGCCTCGATTGCAAGGTTTCTACTCGACAGGTAAAGTTTGGCACGCTATTTGGAAAAATCCATTTCACATCACTGCTAGTAAAGGTTATCTACCTCTATATTGTAACTTTCCAGGAAAGGTAAGCTTATTTATTTTTTAATTTGCATCGTTGGTATTTATACGGTGGCCACATATCCTTATTTACCACACATGTCCAAATTTCCACTGCAACACGCACATGATGCAGGTCATGATTTTTTTTTGATGTACCAGTAGTCTTATTTGTGGGGAATTTTTTATATATAAATGTGGGTGAGATGAGATCCATCCAAGTCACTGTTTTATCAGTGCGTGCCCGATCATGCTAAAGGATAATTGAGCTTGTGCATGCTCTCGCAGGCTTTAATAAGTGTTCCCTCTCGGGAGCGGGTACAGGGCTGTGCATGTGCACTATACCTTTAAATTCCGGTGAGTTGACTTGAACTGAGTGAAGTTGTGTGAATTAAACTGATTTAAGTTTATTTTAAAAGCAAAAGCAGATGAGAAATGTATGAAACAATACAAAAGTACTGAGTTAGGAGAATTTTTTTTAGATGACAATCACAACCGGAAGTAAAACAGTAAATTAGTGATTTTTCATGACCTTCACCATATGGCTCTCTGTGGAAACTTTTATTCAGGTTCAAATATGTTTCCTTTAAACATTTTTCCTATACTTATCCTTTGTTTTCAGAGTTAATCATCTGTTAAAATATTTAAAAAAAATACTGTATGAATATTTTTTTTCTAATCTTATCCAACTCAATGCAAGTAGCCAATATAAAAGTGTCTCCCAAAAAGATGGCATCTGCCGTAAAATATGAGTCCAGTGTGTTTAAGCTTTTTAAAAAGAGGTGGATTTCCCTTAAAGTGAAACACAGTGAGGTTTTCCTGAGGATTGTTTTGTTATCCTCTTCTTCTATCCAGCATTTCGTGAACCTTCATTTTTTATCCTTACATCTTTACTTCACCAGACAAAAGTCTCATTAGGTCTTCTTTCAGTTGGGTAACCTTGCCAAGAATGGCAGCTGCAGACTTCAGAGGGGACAGGACACACAAAATTTACAAAAAAAACCATTAAAAATATGTAAAGTGCATGCAGTTTCACAAATAGAAATGTATAGTATGCATAGTAGTTTGCTTTTGCATCAAAGTCACCCTCTGAGTTCCTCTCCTTGCTCTGCAGAGGATCTTACTGTTGCATACTCCTGCAACATGGACAGCGTGTTGTTTTAGGGGGGGGTTACAGTTATTGCACTTTACATTTTTGTGTTACAGCTAACCTCTGCTTCTCTCTCTTTTCATTTCCTTTCATCGTCCTTTTCTGCACCCCTCCCCCAGCTGCTGAAGTGAACTTTGTTCTATGGATATAAGGGTGATGATGAGGTTTGCTGAAAATATTCAGCTATGCTCAACCTCCTGGCCCCCAACATTTGCAAGTCCTGTCTAGCCAACCAGAAGTGCCTTAGCAATCACCTGACCCTGAAGTCCCCACACAAAGAAATGTTCTTCCTTTTTTTCCGCTCTCTTCCACCCCAAGTGTGGGGGGTGAACAAACCCAAGCCCAACACTGGATTATGTGTTAAGCAAGCTGGCGTGTATGGGTATGTGCACTGCATTGTTTTATTGATAACACATGGCAATCGTGTGTATATCCGAGCAGCCTCCTTACAGTGAGGGGAACATGCTGACATAAGGTATTTCCGCGAGAGTTGTTGTGAACCATCTGTGCGGTGTGGCTTAAAGAGAACCTGCCTCTTTAAAAAAGGAAGGGATCGCAGGCTTTAGCCATGTTTGGAGAAAAAAAGCTGCTGGCTTGAAATTAAAAGTTTTTTTTCTATGATGAATGTGTATTAATACAATGTCCTCCATAACTTTGAAACAGGAAAAGGTTTTTTTGTTGCCCTAAATTTTATTTTCCTCCATTTTGTTGTTTGATTCAAGCAGATTGTTTTTAAAACAATTTAAGATTTTTTTAAATTCGATGAATAAAGCAAGCAAACATTTCTGTGGGATATTTTAGTATCTTTGCATGTGGTAAAAATAAGGATTTTCTTTATATATTGATAGTTACAAATTTTCTGAAAATATTAAAGATCCAGATATGATGTGGCATAACTCTTAACTAATTATAAAAACCAAAGCTTTAACTTTACTGCCACATTTTGAAAAATCTGCAACTCGTCTGCCATGATGTAGTCTGATTTCATGCATTTGGACATAAATCCCACGTTTCATTGAATGCAATTTTTAATAAATGATGTGCAGATCACAACTTTTTGGCCAATTTCTGATGTTTGTAAAGCTATAACCTGACTATACCATGTGCAAAGATTACATATTTTTTAAGTTAGGTCTTCTGCTCTTAACAACTTTAAAATTTTCATAAAGGTAACAATAGTGAGGTTACACAAGACTGGTATTTTTAACTATCATAATACTATCATACCAATAAAAGTGATGAAAATAAAGAAAATGTAATGACACTATTGATGAAAAATTTAAAAG